TGCTTTGCCCTCTGCACCCCTGTTGCTGCGCTCTGCTCCATGGCTCCGAAGCTTCCCCACCACCCACTCCCCATCTCCGCCAGTAAAGGGGCCTCCTGGTGTGTGGAAACTTTTCCTCCTTCACAGCTCCCTCCCACTGGTGCAGGTCCCGTCCCTATTCTTTTGTCTCTGTTTTTTCTTTTGCCCTACCCACGTACGTGGGGAGTGTCTTGCCTTTTAGGAAGTCTGAGGTCTTCTGCCAGAGTTCAGTAGGTGTTCTGTAGGAGCTGTTCCACATGTAGATGTATTTTTGATGTATTTGTGGGGAGGAAGGTGATCTCCACATCTTACTCCTCTGCCATCTTGAGAGTCTTCAGTGAACACTCTTTATACCACTAGATTTAAGAATAAAATATTATAGATAAGATACACTTGAAGCTTCCTGGTTCTCTCTCCCTAATACCATTCATTTCCTTTTCTCCCTCAGAGGTAACCATTATTTTGGATTTATAATTCCATTCTATGGTTTTATATTTAGTATATATATACTCACAAAAATTTGCAGTATCATTTTGTGTATTTTTAGTTTAACAGACTAAACTGTTATATCTAATAAGAAATCCTAAAATTCAGCAGCTTAAATTATATAGAAGTTTATTTCTTTTATATAATAGCCCTGGTTGGAGAGTGCATCTGTTCTATGTAGTCATTCAGGGACCTGTTATCTTCCTAACTAGCTCTCTCTAGTTGTTGCTAATCCAGCAGGAGGTGGGGAGAGAACAAGAGTATAAGCTAGGATTTTTTTTTTTTTTTTTTTGCGGTACGCAGGCCTCTCACTGTTGCGGCCTCTCCCCTTGCGGAGCACAGACTCCGGACGCGCAGGCTCAGCAGCCATGGCTCACGGGCCCAGCCACTCCGTGGCATGTGGGATCTTCCCGGACCGGGGCACGAACCTGTGTCCCCTGCATCGGCAGGCCTATTCTCAACCACTTCGCCACCAGGGAAGCCCTAAGCTAGGATTTTTAAGGTCTAATTTGCAGTCATCACTTTTGCTAACATTCTATTGGCAAGAGTTTAGTCACATGGCCACACCCAGCTGCAAGGAAGCCTGGATAATTTAGTACCCAGCTGAGAGGCCTCAGCTCAGATGCAGCTCTTGTTACTGTGGAAGGAAGGGGATTTTAGTGGACAACTAGAAGTCTTTGAAACTTCTTTTAAAACTTTATAAAAATGGCATGAAATAGTAATGTATACTTCTCTCTAACTTTCTTTTTTCACAAAATGTTATGATTTTTGAGGTTTATTAGACAGATAGATGTATTCTAGTTTATTCTTTTAAATTGTTTGTGGTATTGCATTTAATAAAACACTGTTTATCCATTCTCCGATTTGACGTTTAGATTGTTTACAGTTTTCAGAATTACAATCACGGTGGTAATTGATATTCTTGTATGTGTCCTTGTTTACATGCACAGGATTTTTTTTTGTTTGTGTTTTTTTTGTTTTTTTTTGTGGTGCGTGGGCCTCACTATTGTGCCCTCTCCTGTTGCGGAGCACAGGCTCCAGACGCGCAGGCTCAGTGGCCATGGCTCACGGGCCCAGCCGCTCTGCGGCATGTGGGATCTTCCTGGACCGAGGCACGAACCCATGTCCCCTACGTCGGCAGGCAGACTCTCAACCACTGCGCCACCAGGGAAGCCCCAGGATGTTCTTTAGAGAAGTGCTTCCCTACCCTTTTCACACTTTGCCCACATAGAAAATGATATTTGTGTGGCATACTGGTACTGTTGGATGAGGCTTCTTGAGGTACTGCCTATCTTCTCTGAAGATTGAGAGTTAAGAGCACTGCCTTGGTAAATAGTTGGGAAACTCTACTTTAGGTTTTGCTTGTTGGGATATGCCCATTTTCAGTATAAATAGTTATAAATGCTGCATTCTTTATCAGAGTGGTTGTAGTAATTTACACTCTCATCAGCAATGTTTGGTGAGAATTTAGAGAAACAATATTAAGTATTGTCAGACGTAAAAATTTTTGCCACTTAGTTGGGTATGAAGAGGTTTAACTTGTGTTTTTATTTGCATTTTTTCGATTACTAATGAGGCTGAACATTGTTTAGTAAAGTTATTGGCTATTCTAGTTTTCTATTGAATTGCCTGTAAAATTGTGTTCTTTGTCCTTTTCTAAATAATTTGAGCTGTTTTATATAGTTCTGATACCAATCATTTATTAATTTTATCTGATATAGATATTTTCTCTCACACTGTGGCTTGTTTTTTCACAAATGATACCCTTGTTTAAAAAAAGCAACTTTATTAAAGTATGATTTACATAAAATAAACTGTATTTATTTAAAGTATGCAGTTCATCTCAAATGTTTTTTCATACCCTCTTGTAGTTCATCCCTCTTTTCACCCTGGCCGCACACAGCCACTGATTTGTTTTCTGTCACTATAGATTAGTTTGGGTTTTCTAATGGAAATGGATTTCTAATGGGTTTCTCTAATCTTTTGAGATTCATTTGTGTTGTGTATATTAGAAGTTCGTTACTCTTTATTGCTGAATAGTATTCCATTGTATGGATGCATATTTTGTTTATGCATTCTGTCTTATTGGTAGGTCTCTTTGCCAGTACTACAAAGTGTTTTTTTTTTTTTTGAAAGAGAGGAAGCAAGCTCTCGTGTCTCTCTTTTTTTTTTTTTAAATAAATTTATTTATTTTATTTTTGGTTGCATTGGGTCTTCGTTGCTGCACGGGGGCTTTCTCTGGTTGCGGTGAGTGGGGGCTACCCTACTGTTCGTTGCGGTGCGCGGGCTTCTCATTGCAGTGGCTTCTCTTGTTGCGGAGCACAGGCTCTAGGTGCACAGGCTTCAGTAGTTGTGGTTCGTGGGTTCTAGAGTGCAGGCTCAGTAGTTGTGGTGCACTGGCTTAGTTGCTCTGCGGCGTGTGGAATCTTCCCAGACCAGGGCTCGAGCCCATGTCCCCTGCATTGGCAGGCAGATTCTTAACCACTGCACCACCAGGGAAGCCCAGTACTACACAGTTTTGATTACTGTAGCTTTATAGTAAGACTTACAGTCAGGTATTATAAGTCTCCAACTTTGTCCTTTTTAAAATACTCCTTGGGTCTTCTAGGTTGTTTCCTTTCCATATGTAGAAATGAGAATAGCTACCTCAGGGTTGTTGAGGGGGTTAAATGAGGCAATCCTTACAAGTGCGTACTACCATGCTTGGCATTCAGTAAGGGCTCAGTATATCTCGTTGTTATCATTAAAAACATTTTATTAAGTATTTACTATGTGCTAGGCACTAGGTCAGGTGTATTCACACCTGTCTGTGTCTATGTTTATGTATAGATACACACATATACTTTATCTCCTTCCAGTTTCTTTTGCTTTCTTCACTTGTAAACGGGGAGGGAGTGGTCTATGCAAATGTAGGACTTGAGACCAAGTATGTCTTTATACAAAGGGTTGAAAATGACCATCTCCTTGTGTTTTGTGGTGGCCTGAGAGAAACAGGGAAGATGGCAAGAATAGTTCTGGTACCATATATTCCTGGCATGTTTGAGATCCTGAGGGATGGAAAGGCTACACAGTTAATAATAATCTTATTTTATGATTCTCTTTTTATTACTTGTCATTGCATCAACTGAACTAATTCCAATGTAACATTCTCATAGTTGAGTTAATACTGAAACCTGAAATGTGTGACTGATTAAGGCAGGGAAAAGGAACGAATTCCTATGTTTCCTGAAATGCTGAATTTTTAATTCATAGCTTTAGCATTTCCAGGTCATGTGGCTGCCTTTAAGGGTGATTTGGCAATGCTTAAGAAATTAATAGAAGATGGAGTAATCAATATTAATGAACGTGATAATAATGGATCAACTCTTATGCATAAAGGTAAGTTATGATTCCTGCTTCATCTTCAGTTCTGACACAATTGCTGTTGAGTTATTTAGCTTTTATTTTTTATTTATTTTTTTAAAAAATTATTTATTATTTATTTTTGGCTGTGTTGGGTCTTTGCTGCTGCGCACTGGCTTTCTCTAGTTGGGGCGAGCAGGGGCTACTCTTTGTTGTGGTGCGCGGGCTTCTCATTGCAGTGGCTTCTCTTGTTGCAGAGCACAGGCTCTAAGCACACGGGCTTCAGTAGTTGTGGCACATGGGCTTAGTTGCTCCACGGCATGTGGGATCTTCCCGGACCAGGGCTCGGACCCATGTCCCCTGCATTGGCAGGCGGATTCTTAACCACTGCGCCACCAGGGAAGTCCCCCCTCAGGTTTCTTGACTGAGGTTACACAGCTAGTAAGAGCAAAGCTGAGGTTTCATTCATTTTTTTCCATTCATTTATTCATCAACTCTATAGACGTTTATTGAGTGTCTTTATATGCCAGCCACTTGCTAAGTTCTGTCCTGTCCTGCAATCTGTTGTTTAGTGGACCTAAACTCAGATCTTTTTAGACTGAGTTTCCCCCCAACAGTTTCCCTGCATTTTGAGATGGACCTAGAAGGAGGGGAGAAATTAGATGATCATATGATTGAGTGATGGGCACTAGGTGAGAAGACACATAAGCAGAGTTGTGGAGGTGAAAATTAATATTGAGTGCATGTGTTTTAAGGAAAGGTGGTGAACAGTTTAGGTAATCAGTGAGGGGCCCTGAACATTTTGAGTTATGAGGGTCAGAGGAATAAGCTACTTATACAAGATGGCAAAAGATTTTCAAAGTCTTTCACATTCACACAGATTGCACTTACATTTGGCCTGGTACAAGATTGGTCAGGAGCTATGAATACAGTAGATGAGCACTGGATAAGGATTAGAAAAAACCTAGATTATAGTTTCAAATCCATTACTTACTGGCTGTATGATGTTAAATAGCCTCTTTGAGCTTCAACATCTATATCTGTATGTAAAGCTCTCTGCATAGGGGCTGAGTACAGCAGATACTTTATTAAATATTTGTCTAATGAATGAATAAATGAACTAGAGAAAATAACATCTGGCCAACCTACTTCTGCTGGTTATTGTAAGGATTAGTATTTACAAAAATACTCTGCAGTGGTACTGTCCAAAATTTTAGAAAATTGTTCTAATAACAGTAACTTTTTTGTGTGTACATTTTGTTTTGTTTTTACAGCTGCTGGGCAAGGCCACATAGAGTGTTTGCAGTGGCTAATTAAAATGGGAGCAGACAGTAATATTACCAACAAAGCAAGGGAGAAACCCAGTGATGTGGCTAAGAGGTATCCCTATCTGCTTTGCTTCTTTCTTTTGTTTTTAAAGTTTTGCATTTACTCTTCTATACTCAGAAATCTCTGAAGATTTCTGGATTATAGGACTCAGTCAAATGCTGATGGAATGATAATTTTCAAGCTGAATTGACATTTGACAACATATCAGCTCTTCTCTCTAAAGCAGTGATTCTCAGCTGGGAGGTAGTAGTCCCCCTTCTTGGGGGGTGTGCATTTGGAAATGTGGGGAGGGGGTTGTCACAGTGATGGAGACCATCACTAATGTTTCATGAGGTCAGGTCCAGGAATGCCAGACATTCTACAGTGCTCAGAACAGTAGTGTACAACAAAGAATTGTCCCACCCAAATGCTGGTACCTGTTGAGAAATGCTGTGTGATAAAAAGGAGTAATCAAAAGGAGTCACATGGATTTTGAAACAAATTTTAATATTTATATTTGAATTAAATGTAACACCTATTATAGAACACCTCTAGCTCATTCAGGTCAGGCCCTCACAGAATATTTAGTTCATCCATTTGTTCATTTGATTGTTTTTTCATTCAACTTCCTGTATACTTACCATGCTCCACGTGCTATGGTTAGCATTAAGTTTACCAAGATGACAAAAAATAGTCCTTGCCCTCAAGAAACTTACAGTCTTGTGGAGAGACAAATGTACAAACATAACTTTTATTGATTATAATCAGTATGTCGTATTACATGTCATGTATAAGGTGCAGTAAGAGCACAGAAGAAAAAGTGCCCAAGTATTCCTGTTCTAAAGTTGTGGGGGAGAAATGTTAATACAGATGATGGTAAGAGTTATGAAGGCAACTACGGGGGACAGAATTTATGTAGAAGTCTGGGAAAACTTTTTTTTGGAGAAAGCAACATTTATGGTGACACTTGAAGGAGGAAGAGTTTTAAGATAACACCTTGTTTGTCTGAGGAACGCATGTGGTTCAGAACTGCTTGAATCTAAACTAGGAGTGTGGGCTAAAAGTTACACATGAGGCTTGACGGGATGCAAGGGCCTAATTATTCATTAAATTGCCATGCAATTTTTGTTTGTGAGTTCATGTTCCTTAAAATTTTGTCTGTGGGATCTCTTTGAAGCCATGGAATATGGTTTTGTTTTACCACATAGTAGCATCATTATCAACTCAGGCCCACTATTTTTTATTTTTTAAAATAGCTTTATCAAGGTATAATTGGCATATAGTAAAGTACACATATTTGTACAGCACAAACTGATGAATTCTGATATATGTATATACCTGTGAAATCATCACCACAATCAAGATAGTGAACATATCCATCACCTCCTAAAATCTCCTTGTGCACCTTTGTAATCTCTCCCTCCTACTGCTTTCCACTGCCCCATCCCCAAACAGACACTAATTTGCTTTCTGTCACTATAGATTAGTTTGCATTTGCTAGAATTTTATATAAATGGAATCATACGGTATGTACTCTTATATATTTGGCTTTTTCCACTCAGCATAATTATTTTGAAAATCATTCATGTGTATTAGTGGTTCATCTCTTATTGCTGAGTAGTATTCCATTGACTGTGGAATTCCATAGTATTCCATAGTTTGCTTATCCCCTAATCTGTTGAAGGATATCTTGTTTGTATCTACTTTTTGGTGATTATGAATAAAGCTGCTATAAACATTCAGATACAGATTTTTGTGTGAACATAAGTTTTCAGTTCACTTGAGTAATACGTAGGAGTAGGATTGCTGAGTCAGATGCTAAGAGGGTGTGTTTATCTTTATAAGAAACTGCCACAGTGCCTTCCAAGGTGACCACACCAATTTGCATTCCATCAGCAGTGGATGAGTGTTTCTGTTGCTTCTTACCTTGCCAGCATTTGATATTGTCAGAGTTTTTGATTTTCGTAATTCCAGTAGGTGTGTAGTGGTGTCTCATTGTGTTTTTTGTTTTTTCCTAATGGAAAATGATTTGGGGCATCTTTTCATATACATATTTGCCATTTGTATGTTTTCCTTTGGTGAAGTGACTGTTCAGATCTTTTATCCACTTTTAAAACTTGGGTGGTTTTCTTATTGTTGAGTTTTAAGAACTCTTTCTATATTCTGGATACTAGTTCTTTCTCAGATTTTTGTTTTGTGAAGATTTTCTCCCAGTTGTGGTTTGTTTTTTCATTCTCTTAACAATGAAGAGCAAAATTTTTTTATCAATTTGCTCTTTTATGGGTTATGCTTTTGGTATCACATCTAAGAAATCTTTGATTTACACCAAGTCACAAAGATTTTCTTTTATGTTTTCTTTTAGACATTGTTATATATACAGTTTTAGGTTTTACATTAAGGTCTGTGATCCATTTTGAGTTAATTTTTGTATGTGGTATGAGGTATGTATCCAAGTTCTTTTTTTTGCATATGGATATCTAATTGTTCTAGCACCATTTGTTGAAAAAGCTGTCCTTTTTCTTCTATTGCCTTTGTGTCTTTGTCCACGTCAGGTGTCCATGTATGCGTGGGCTTATTTCCGTAGTCTGTATTTTATCCATTGATCTATTTGTCTGTCTTTATATCAGTATTACATGGGTGATTTAGTACTGTATCTGAATATATTCATAATTTCTGACCCACATTTCTTTGTCATTCATGCACCAAAGTGCTAGTGTGAGTGTAGTGTTATAGAAACAACCTTGAATCTGGCATAAAGCAAGTACTCAGTAAATGATAGCTGTGAAGTGACAATCTAGTAATAGAGATAACGAATTCTATTAACCGTACAACTTCTTATGTTTGTTACTATATTGTTAATGATTTGCAGTACCTGGTGAAAGGTAAAGATATATGTGTGCATGTGCACATGGTTATGGAAGTGTGTGAACAAAATAAAATTTGAGGTTTTTATGTTTAGCGAGTAATTCTCCATGTCCTAAGAGAAAGCATTGAACATTTTTTTTAAAAAAAATTAATTTATTTATTTTTGCTTAGGTTGGGTTTTTGTTGCTGTGCGCGGGCTTTCTCTAGTTGCAGTAAGTGGGCTTCTCATTGCGGTGGCTTATTTTGCTGCAGAGCACGGCCTCTATGCGCACAGGCTTCAGCGGTTGTGGCACACGGGCTCAGTAGTTATGCCTTGCGGGCTCTAGAGCGCAGGCTCAGTTGCTGTGGCGCACAGACTTAGTTGCTCCGCGGCATGTGGGATCTTCCCAGACCAGGGCTCAAATCCGTGTCCCCTGCATTGGCAGGCGGACTCTCAACCACTGCACCACCAGGGAAGTCCCAGCATTGAACATTTTAATTAGCAAAACTGTGGGAAAAATAATGCAGATTACATACAATCACAACAACAACTTGAAAACCAAGGGTATATTATTAGAAGCTTCATAGAGATGTGGGAAAGATCAAAGAAAATAAGAAATGTGGATATGAAAGTCATTATTTTTCCATTAAATTTCAAAGCCATGCTGAGTGCTTTGAGGGTTGAGGAAGGATGAAGATTAAGGGAGCTAGAGCTATAGTTTTCCCTAAAACTGGAACCAGAACTAATTCTATGATCTAAATTAGGCCATCAGGAAAAGGTAGTAAATACAGGTAAATCAAGTAGGGTGGTTCCGGGCTTTCTACTCAGTTGAGCAGTTCCATTTGGGGACACACCAAATATTCTTTTGATATTGGGTCACTTCTTTCAGTTGGATTTTTGCCACTAAAAAATGGAATCTGGGAATTCCCAGGCGGTCCAGTAGTTAGGACTCTTCGCTTTCACTGCCGAGGGCCCGGGTTCAGTCCCTGGTCGGGCAGCTAAGATCCCACAAGCCCCGCGGCGTGGCCAAAAAAAAAAATTCTGGAATCATTCTTTAATATGACTGCTTGTCCTTAGTTTCCACTAACTGTTTGAATTCCCCGCATTGCTGGATATGCATCAAATTGTCACTGACCTTCAGATACAGTTTTTGTTCTTCATTGGTGCGTGAGTTGGTGGGATAATGTAGAGTGTAATTCCCTAAATTAAATGCAAACTGCTATTTCAATTTGAAAAAGATTGTGGATCTTGTAATTACTAATTCTTTTCTACAGGTTTGCCCATTTAGCAGCAGTAAAGCTATTGGAAGGACTACAGAAATATGATACAGATGATGAGAGTGAAATTGATGAAAATGATATTAAGTTTTTCATAAGACATGGTGTTGAGGGAAGCACTGATGCCAAAGATGATATAGGTCTCAGTGAGTCAGATAAAACAGATGCCAGAGGTAAGTGTGCCAACTCTTCCATGATTTTTCCTTTAAAAAATACCACAGATTTGAGAATTATTTTAAAGACAACTACCATCTACAAGGTAAAATACTTTGATATTTTTTGGGGAACCAGAACTAGTACAGATTTTTGTACTAGGGGTTGTTGAACATATAAAGAATGTGAGACATGATCTTTGTCCCTCAAAGAGGAAAGGGGTATTTTCCTGCCATATAACCCTGATTTCACTTCTCATGATATTTGTCAGAGAGCCATGGTTCATATGAATGGATGAGAAGAACTGTTTCAATGGCACTCTTTCATAGAAGAAAGGTGAGAAGGATCTTTTTGAACGGAGGCTAACCAAAGCAAAGGCAGCTGTAGTAAAGTGAGCAGAGCTTGGCACTGGATTCAGACATCAGAGCTTCACCTCTTTCTAGCTGTGTTACTTTCTGAACCTTGGTTTCCTCATCTGTAAAAATGAGAATATTAACGTAATGTCATCCCACAGACTGCACTAGAGAATGGGAAGTGCCTAGAGGCTTAGTAAATGTCAATTCCCTTCCTCGTGATCTCTGGAAAGTATTTTCAGTTATTCTGGCAGGAAAAACTAGTACCAAAACTGTATTGTCTGAGAAAAACTTCTAATTCAGGTCTAAATTTAAAAAAAAAATTTTTTTTAAGAGCTCCCAGAACATCGTCAGGCAGAACCTCACTCTCCAGGTGATGGTAGAAGCCTCTTTCCTGGTGAATGCAACCTAAAAGATGCTGATATTAGGGGCTCCCAACAAGCAGCCCACCACAGTGAGGCTCAGAGTCAGTGATCCCTTCAGAATTTCCTGACAGCTTTATTTTAAATAGCTTCACTGAGATATAATTCACATACCATTCAATTTACCCATTTAAGGTGTACAATTTAATGGTTTTTAGTATATTCAGATTTGTGCAACCATTATTACAATAAAATTTGTAACATTTCCATCACCCCCCAAAAGAAACCTCATACCCATTAGTAGTCAATCCCCCTAACCTCTACCTTCTTCTCCCTTCCCCTCAAACCACCCCCCAATTAGGCAACTGCTAATCTACTGTCTGTCTCTATAGGTTTGCCTATTTGGGGCATTTCATATGAATGGGATGATACCATATATGGTTTTTTGTGACTGGTTTCTTTCACTTAGCACAATGTCTTCAAGGTTTATGCACATTGTAACGTGGATCATTACTTCATACTTTATTCCTTTTTATTGCCAAATAATATTTTTGTATGGATATACCACATTTTATTTTATTTTTAATTTATTTTTTCCTAAATTTATTTGGCTGCACTGGGTCTTAGTTGTGGCATGCAGGATCTTTGTAGCGGCATGCAAGCTCTTAGTTGCAGCATGTGGGATCTAGTTCCCTGACCAGAGATCACACCCGGCCCCCCTGCATTGGGAATATGGAGTCTTAGCCACTGGACCACCAGGGAAGTCCCTATACCACATTTTATATATCTACTCATCAGTTGTTGGACATTTGAGTTGTTTCCACATTTTGGCTATTAAGAATAATGCTGCTGGGACTTCCCTGGTGGTCCAGTGGGTAAGAGTCCACGCTCCCAGTACAGGGGGCCCGGGTTCGATCCCTGGTTGGGGAACTAGATCCCGCATGCCGCAACTAAGAAGTCCGCATGTTACAACTAAAGATCCCGCATGCCTCAACGAAGATCCCACGTGCCACAGCTAAGACCCGGCACAGCCTAAATAAATAAATAAATAAATATGAAAAAAATAATGCTGCATGAACATTTGTATACATTCCTTTTTGAAAATGGAAATGTATTTTCATTGCTCTTGGATATACACCTAGCAGCTGGAATTGCTGCATCATCTGGTAAAAATATGTCTAACATTTTGAGGAACTTTCAAGCTGTTATGCAAAATAGCTGCACCATTTTATATTCCCACCAACAATGCCTGAGGGTTCCAGTTTCTCCCCTTCCTTGCCAATGCTCGTTATTGTTTGTCTTGTTAATAACTAAAACTGTTATAGTGAGTGTGTAGTGGTATCTCAGTGTAGATTTGATTGGTGTTTCCCTAATGAATAATGATGTTGAGTATCTTTTCATGTGCCCATTGATCATTTGTATATCTTTTGGAGAAATGTCTATTCAAATCCTTTGCCTATTTTTCAACTGAGTTGTTTATCTTTTTACTATTGAGTTTTAAGAGTACTTGCAGATATAAGTCCCTTATATCAGCAAGTATAAGTATTTGCAGATACTTTCTCCTATTCTGTGGGTTGTCTTTTAACTTTTTTTTTTTAACATCTTTATTGGAGTATAATTGCTTTACAATGGTGTGTTAGTTTATGCTTTATAACAAAGTGAATCAGTTATACATATACATATGTCCCCATATATCTTCCCTCTTGCGTCTCCCTCCCACCCTCCCTATCCCACCCCTCTAGGTGGTCACAAACCACCGAGCTGATCTCCCTGTGCTATGCGGCTGCTTCCCACTAGCTATCTATTTTACGTTTGGTAGTGTATATATGTCCATGCCACTCTCTCACTTTGTCACAGCTTACCCTTCCCCCTCCCCATATCCTCAATTCCATTCTCTAGTAGGTCTGTGTGTTTATTCCTGCCTTACCCCTAGGTTCTTCATGACCTTTTTTTTTTTTTTTCTTAGATTCCATATATATGTGTTAGCATATGGTATTTGTTTTTCTCTTTCTGACTTACATCACTCTGTAAGACAGACTCTAGGTCCATCCACCTCACTACAAATATCTCAATTTCGTTTCTTTTTATGGCTGAGTAATATTCCATTGTATATATGTGCCACATCTTCTTTATCCATTAATCTGATGATGGACACTTAGGTTGCTTCCATGTCCTGGCTATTGTAAATAGAGCTGCAATGAACATTTTAGTCATGACTCTTTTTGAATTATGGTTTTCTCAGGGTATATGCCCAGTAGTGGGATTGCTGGGTTGTATGGTAGTTCTAATTTTAGATTTTTAAGGAACCTCCATACTGTTCTCCATAGTGGCTGTATCAATTTACATTCCCACCAGCAGTGCAAGAGGGTTCCCTTTTCTCCACACCCTCTCCAGCATTTATTGTTTCTAGATTTTTTTGATGATGGCCATTCTGACTGGTGTGAGATGATATCTCATTGCAGTTTTGATTTGCATTTCTCTAATGATTAATGATGTTGAGCATTCTTTCATGTGTTTGTTGGCAATCTGTATATCTTCTTTGGAGAAATGTCTATTTAGGTCTTCTGCCCATTTTTGGATTGGGTTGTTTGTTTTTCTGTTATTGAGCTGCATGAGCTGCTTGTAAATCTTGGAGATTAATCCTTTGTCAGTTGCTTTGTTTGCAAATATTTTCTCCCACTCTGAGGGTTGTCTTTTCGTCTTGTTTATGGTTTCCTTTGCTGTGCAAAAGCTTTGAAGTTTCATTAGGTCCCATTTGTTTATTTTTGGTTTTATTTCCATTTCTCTAGGAGGTGGGTCAAAAAGGATCTTGCTGTGATTTATGTCATAGAGTGTTCTGCCTATGTTTTCCTCTAAGAGTTTGATAGTGTCTGGCCTTACATTTAGGTCTTTAATCCATTTTGAGTTTATTTTTGTGTATGGTGTTAGGGAGTGTTCTAATTTCATACTTTTACATGTACCTGTCCAGTTTTCCCAGCACCACTTATTGAGGAGGCTGTCTTTTATCCTAACTTTCTTAATGATGTCCTTGCCAGTGCAAGTTTTTAATTTTGATGCAATCCATTTTATCTATTTTAAAATTTTGTTTGTGCTTAAATTTCTTTTTTGTTGATTGTACTGAGAATTAGCAAGGACTTATTAGCACTGCAGAAGATGAACAGTTGATTTGTAGAATTTCAGTGTCTTCTGAAATTAGTTGATTAGGAGATTTTTGTGAAGTGATCATTGTCAGTGAATCACAAAAATTTTAAAAGATGTTTAAGGAAAGACCAAGAACGAAGCTAGAACAGTTTCCTTCTGTGGTGTGTTTGACACAAATGCACTCTTACACCCTCACCATATAGTGAGGCTCTGGCTGGTGCCCAGCTGGGGTGCTTGCAGCTAGTGAAGGTACTATATATGAAGTCATGTGCTATTTGACATAACTATTTAATTTTATTCCAGGGCAAAATCCAAAGGACTGGCCAGTCTCTTGGAATACTAGGTTTTGCCAGAGTGCCTACAGGGGACTGAATGGATTTCTTGTCATCACAGACTTCTTGGAACTGAGCCTCAATTCAGAGCATTCTTTAGTGAATTAGGTTTAGGGTCATGGCATCATAGAACCCCATTTGAGGTTTGATTCCTGGCTCAACATTCCTGTCACATGTCATCCAGCATCCAATCACCTTCAGTGACAAGGCCCCCACTATCACCCATGTGGCCCATTTCTACCTTTTGACAGGGGTAAATGTATAAGGCACTTATCGTAGTGTCCTTCCCATCACAGGCACTCCACAAATACATGATAGTTCTTAACTGTTTTTTTTTTTAACATCTTTATTGGAGTATAATTGCTTTACAGTGGTGTGTTAGTTTCTGCTTTATAACAAAGTGAATCAGTTATATATATACATATGTTCCCATATCTCTTCCCTCTTGCGTCTCCCTCCCTCCCACCCTCTTAACTGTTTTTGTTGAAAAGTTTCGCCTTTGTTAAGAACTTTCTTCCTGGAACTAATCCCTATTAATCCTAGCTCTTACCTCTGATGATCCCATAGAACAGCCCTTTCAAAACATAGCCTTCAAATGTTAAAGAATTAAATAAACCATCACAATTCTTTCCATTTTATGTAACATTAAAAAAAAATCCCCTCTACTTGTTTGCTATTAGTTATGGTGGATCCCAAACCTGTCTGCCCGTCAGAATTGTCTGAGGAGCTTTTACTAACTACTGATACCTGAATTTGTAGGACTGCTATGGGGCTCAAACATATACATTTTTTAAAAGTACCCCAGTTGATTCTGATGTATGTAGTTTGGAACCTGCAGCTCTAACCTATTGAGAGATAAATCAGAGTGGTGAGTGTCAGGGAGAAGAGGCTGTGATTTGCTAACCTGGTTGTAAAGCAGAGTTTCTCAGCTTCTGTGTTATTGACATTTTGGGCCAGATACTTATTTGTTGAGGGGGGCCCACCTGTGCATTTTAAGGTATTTAGTAGCATCCTGAGCCTCTACATGCCAATAGTCTGTTTCCCTCCATGCCCCGAGGTTTAACAAGTAAAAGGTCTCCAGATATTGCCAAGTGTTCCTTGGAGAAGAAGATCACCCCAGGTTGAGAACTTGTACCACAAAGGATAGAAAAAATCATGGTTTTGATAGCTGGAGAATAGCTCAAGGTAGCTCTTAACACACTTCCTTCTCAATATCCTCTTGCCTAGATATTACAAGTGACTAATCATAAAATTGGGGGGCTGAATTAGTTCTGATTTATCATAAATCAATCAAGCATATTTCAGTTTTTCTAATTTTCTGACATAAATAGATTGTGCATGGTCCTGTAATGTACAACTAGTCCTAAAACACTGCTAGCCAGCCTCCCTCCCCTCCGCTCCCCTCCCCTCCCTTCCCTTCCTTTCCCTGGTATTAATAGTCATAACAGTGATATATCCTCCAACAGCAGGAACAGAATCCTCCATTTAGATATTTCACTGCTTGTTCACCCTAATACTCTGCTACTGATATGTGTCCTTCTATATAGACACCACCCTCCCTCCATCTCCTTCCCCGAACCATACAGACACTGACCATGCAGACACTGGCTTTAGAGGAAGAGTATGCTCCAGGACCAGCATCCTGTGAGCTCATGAGCTGTTATCTGTCTAAACTAGGTTCCTGTTCAACTTTGTCTTGCAGTGAGAGCTTATAAGAAAATTGTAGAATTGAGACACCTCCTGGAAATTGCAGAGAGCAACTATAAACACTTGGGAGGCATAACAGAAGAAGATCTAAAGCAGAAGAAAGAACAGCTTGAGTCTGAAAAGTAATGTCCTCAAAACTTTGATGGTTTGTTTTTACTTACCTTTCTAAATGCCACGTGAGGGTTTGTTGATTAACAACTTATTTTTTCATCCCCACCAAAGGGTGTGAGTTTCCAACCTGTTTTCTCCTAAGCCCCCAGATGGAGAAGGTGTTAAGATTTTTAAAAAATTGTGGTAAGGGACTTTCCTGGTGGCACAGTGGTTAAGAATCCACCTGCTAGTGCAGGGGACATGGGTTCGAGCCCTGGGACGGGAAGATCCCACATGCCGCGGAGTAACTAAGCCCGTGCACCACAACTGCTGAAGCCCGCGTGCCTAGAGCCTGTGCTCTGCAACAAGAGAAGCCACCGCAGTGAGAAGCCTGTGCTCCGCAACAAAGAGTAGCCTCCACTTGCTGCAACTAGGGAAAGCCTGCGCGCAGCAACAAAGACCCAACACAGGTCTTCGTTGTGGTGCCAAAAACTTGTGCACCAATTTAAAAAAATTTTTTTTTTAATTTTTTAAAAATTAAAAAAAATTTGTGGTAAAATACACATAAGCATAAAATATATCTTAACTACTTTTAAGGCAGAATTCAGTAGTGTTAACTACATTCCACATTTTTGTATAACCATCCTCCAGAACTTTTTGTCTCGCAAAACTAAAACGCTAAGAAGAGTTCCTGTTTTCGTTTTTTTGTTTTTTTTTTTTTTTTTTCGGTACACGGGCCTCTCACTGCTTTGGCCTCTCCCGTTACGGAGCACAGGCTCCGGACGCGCAGGCTCAGCTGCCATGGCCCGCGGGCCCAGCTGCACCGCGGCACGTGGGATCCTCCCGGACCGGGGCACGAACCCGTGTCCCCTGCATTGGCAGGCGGACTCCCAACCACTGCGCCACCAGGGAAGACCCTTTGTTTTTTTTTTTGCGGTACGCGGGCCTCTCACTGCTGCGGCCCCTCCCGTTGCGGAGCACAGGCTCCAGACGCGCAGGCTCAGTGGCCATGGCTCACGGGCCCAGCCGCTCCGCGGCACGTGGGATCTTCCCGGACCGGGGCACGAACCCGCGTCCCCTGCATTGGCAGGCAGACTCTCAACCACTGCGCCACCAGGGAAGCCCGACCCTTTGCTTTTTTGAGACCACAGCTACTTTGAGCTTTTCAATCAACACAGTCTCTAGCCATCCCTATCGAATTGGACTGCTTGCTCACAAGTCACCAACCTAGTCCTATGTTCACGGACAGTGGCACCCCTCAGAACGCTTGCATATTCCCTCAGCTTTCACTTCCTGCACCTGAAATTGGCTCTCGGTACATATGGTACCTCTCTAGTTAATTAATGGCTGCTGGGATAGAGGATGCAAAGTGCTTATTTCCTCCCACTGCCTCTTTTCTTGTCTCTGCTTTCCACAGTGGACAGGGAACACAGGGAGACAGGAGGGGAGACTTGTAGTTTAATCAAAACACAGGTCTGTAAAGAGCAGTGCACATGGATTCTCCACTTCCCCTGCCCTTTCCTTTGGTTGGGTCGCTTTCCCTCATACTCTTAGAACCTCCTGTTTCTCTTGCATTCACCCTCTTCTGAATTTAATCTCAGTAAGAGGTCTGGTAAATGTATTCAGAGTAACATCTAAATCTTTGATAAGATGGGTACTTGGGAGTTTGAACAGAAGACAAAATCTTAAGCCAAAATACTCTGTCTCTTAATGGGATTTTAGGCACCAGGAAGTTGTGGTAGACCAAAAAGAAATTTTCTTTTTTTTAATCAGGGGCCTTCTTGGTATCTCATAAATCACATCACATAAGTAGCTGTCCACTGCCTCTCTCTCTCTCTCTCTCTCTCTCTCTCTCTATATATATATATATATATATGTATGTATGTAGGTATGTATATTTTGGCTGCATTGCACAGCATGCAGGATCTTAGTTCCTTGACCAGGGATTGAACCCGTGCCCCCTGCAATGGAAGCGTGGAGTCCTAACCACTGGACCACCAGGGAATTCCTGACTGCCTCTGTATTGATTAAAGTGTTTGAGATGTAGAATATTTTTAGTATTGGCCTCTGCCTAAGAACCTAGCCGAAAGTTCTTAGCTCCCTTGTAGTCTAGAAAAGTACTTCACAGTAGAGCAATTATTTCCTAGATAATGAGCTTTAAATTTTGTTCCCTTTACCTCTCTTCCAAGACATATTACTGTACTACTGCTAGGGATGCTTGTAGTACTTCTGAGCACTACTGTATGGTAGGCACTATATAAGCCTCTTGTATATATTGTTTCATGCAGTCTTCACAGCTCCATTAGCTATTATCTCAGTACGTGGATTAGGAAACCAAGACTGAATTTACAAGTAACTCGCATGAAGTCACAAAGGGAGGACTAAGCGTGGGGGATGGAGCCAGGATTTGTGTCTGAGTCTATATGACTCCAAACCTACTATCCAAGGTCATTACAATTTTAATAATAGTCTTTAATGGAACGTTTAATTCTAATGTTCACATTTCAGTGTGAAATGGTTATTATATTGATGTAAGTCATTTGAGCAGGATTTTTTTTTTTTTTAATAAAGATTGCTTTAGCCTTTGTGCCAGATTGTAGTTTCCTATTAGCTGAGACTGCAGTGTTTCCTCTGAGTAAGCTTTACTTCTTCTCTAGTATGTGTTTCTCACTTTGTGTTGAGTACATCTGAAGACATTTATTCTTTGGGTACAAACTCCTGATCTTATATCTAATTGTAAAGGAAACCTGGATAAGTATTAGTTTGAGAGATGTCCTTTTGCCTTTGTCATTATTGATTGGTTAGATGAAACTCAGAATACAGCAAAACGTGGTTGTGTTATTCTGTCCTGGGGCTGATTTTCTCTTCTCATTTGCTGAATTCTAGGTTTCCACAGTTAATGTTCTTCTTTCCTATCTCTAACCTCAACCCCACTCACTTCCATACCAGGGCTACTACTGTATACTCTTAGATTGCCCTCCTTCAGACCTGACATCCAACTCAACATGCCTTGGGAGTTCTGGTGCCCTCACCATCCAGCAATAAGGCAGAAAGAAACCCTGGTTCCAGTCCTGGCATCGCTTGTCTGGGTATATTCTAACATCTTCCTGATATGTCTCCCAACTTCCTGTCCCTGCTCCCTCACGCCCCACCCTCATCCCCTGCAGTCTGTTCATCATGCTAAAACCTAAGTCAGATAAATCTCACATATTATTGACTGAAAGAATCCAGGCACACAAATGAATATAATGTACAATTTCATTTACAAGCAGAGACAAAACTAATCTAACACGATAGGTATTCAGAAGTGTGGTTACCTCTGCGAAGTGAGGGTTGCCTGGGAAGGGCATGAAGGAACTTTCTGAGATGATGGAAGTATTTTGTATCTTGGTAGTCATGGTGGATGCATTAGTGGAAACTCATTGAATTGTTTAGTTGATATTTGTGTAATTCACTTAAAGTAAATTTTACATCATTAAAAAAAACAAAGCTAAACAAAGCAAAAGACATTTAAGTTAGAGCATGCTGTTTCTCTGTTGAGATCCTCTAATGGCTTCCCATTTCACTCAGAGTAAAAGCCGAGTCCTTGTTGCGACTTACCAGGCCCTACTTGTTCTGGCTCCCTTTTACGTCTCTGACTCTACTCCAGCCACATTGGCTTCTTTCTTCGAGTTCACCAGGTGTTCTTCTGCCCTAGGGCCTTTGCACTTGCTATTCTCTCTGTCTGGGATGCTCGTCCCCCAGATGTCTACTTGATTATCTCTTATTTCCTTTTGGACTTTGCTCACAAGCCCCCTTCTCAGTAAGGCCTTCCCTGGTCATTGTGTATGGGGTATTAACCCCCTCCTCAACAACATTTCTATTATTTTCTTGCTTTATTTTTTTCTCCCTTAGCATTTATCACCTTCCAGCATACTTATATTTACTTACTTATATTGAAATACATATATTTACTTATTTATTTTCTTTACTGTCTTCCACCACTGCTGCCAAGGTAGGCCCCACAAGGGTAGATTTGGCCTGTTTTGTTCACTGCTTTTATCTCCAGTATGTATAGATCAGTGCTGGCTCATAGTACACTCTCAGTATATATTTGTTGAAAAAATGCTTTCTTTGTTTTATTTGCCTTAAATATAATGTATATAATGTATGGATACTTTATTACCAAAAATAATTGCTAGTTGATATTGGAGATTGATTGAAACCAAATTTTTTTGACAGGACTGTCAAAGAGCTGCAGGGCAACCTAGAGTATGAACGACTACGCAGAGAAAAATTAGAATGTCAGCTGGATGAGTATCGAGCAGAGGTAGATCAACTCAGGGAGATGCTGGAAAAAACTCAGGTTCCCAACTTTGCGGCTGTGGTTAGTATCCTTCTTAACACATTTATCTTTCTCAAGAAGTAGTATACAAGAGTAGCTAAGAGTACCAGCTTTGGAGGGGGCTATTTGGGTTTGAATCCTGGCTGCAGCCCTTTTTGGTTTGGACAAGTCATTTAACCTCTCTTTGCCTTATTTGTAAATTGGAGTTAATAACATATTTTCTAGGAGTAAGGAGTAAAGGAATATACATATACACATACATATATATATATATATATATACACACACATACATTACTCTATAAAACTATATATACATACACATACATATGTGTTTGTCTATGTACCTACCTATCTCTCAGTTGGAATAGCAACCTGGTTCATATGTGTGCAGTAAGTTTTATTATTATTGTATCATGTAAGGAAAAAAATTTTATAAGCAGAGTAATCAATAAGAATTCTGAGACAGCTATGGAGTATGTATGTTTTAATTCTAAATATCCAAAATAAACTGCTCTAAAAAGAAACTGACATGAGAAACATAACAAAGAACAAATGAAGAAAAGCAGGTGGAGTATAGAAAATAGAGTGAAAGTGACAGCAAGAAACCCCCAGTGGTGCTTGCCTTTCAGGCCATCCAGTCTCAGTAGAACAGGCAGAAAGCTCACCAGGGAAACTTTGACCCTCACTCTCCCCTGCTCTGAAGATGTGGCCTTTGTGGACAGTTCATGTGACATAGTGTAGGGATTCAGGTACGTTTCATATTTTCTTTCCATAGGGAATTTTCTTCTTCAGTCCTCGTGGGTAAGTTAATTTTGTTCAGATCTACATAACCTCAAATATGATATATAATAAAAACTTCCTGGCTTCTTTTTATTTTGTACAAACTAATCATTAGTCTCTTTAATAACCACTTAAAAAGTATTAATATATGTGCTTATTGTAAAATGTTAAAAACAGGGCAGACGCTCCTCCCCATATCAAGTTCCACTCTCCAGAGGAAGTCGCTATTAATGGTTTGGTCTCATATTAGACAACATTCTGTTCATCTGCATACGTGTGTATTTCTGTATACAAATTCACTTTCTCTGGGTTTTGGTATCCACCAGTGCTTAATTTTCCAAGGGATAGAAATAATCATCATAATCCATTATCTTCATTCTTGCAGTGACCATCTTATACCACGTTTAGCCTCTGGGAACACTTTAGTATGGAGAGGCTGGCTGGGGCAGTCATGTGGTGTTGGCTAGCGGACATACACCTTTTATAAACTACCACTGACACTCCAGATCCGCTCCCTCTCCACCTTGTGGCAGGAACTCTGCCTATTCTAGTCTCCTCAGAGGCAAGAACATACATTGTTCTTCGCTAGCTAGCTGCCTAGATCTTTTGGAGATCACCCGAGCTGCACGCCTTTTGAGTCAATCCAGATTGATGGTCTACATAGAAAATTTTTGGTTTTTAGCTATTTAAAATTATTCTTTTCTTGCCCAGAAATGTCTGTTCCCAGGGTGGTTTGATGTCATACACTAATAGAGCACATCCTTCCTAAGACCTTGCTCTCTACCAACAATGTGTAGCTTTCAGGAGCGCTGACTCGAGGTCCCTGTACTCTGGGCCCATCGTTTTTTGCGGTCCTGCTGTAGGTTACACGAGTTTTTGTAAATGAGCAAATGTCACTGACCTCTAATGGCAGCTGCTTATTTTCTGTTCTGCAAGAGCTTCTGGGTCTCATAACACCTACCTCATGGGATGGTATTGATGTTAGATGAAATACTGTGTAGAACTCCTGAGGTATTTTCTGTCTACTAGTATTCATGGTATTCTCCCTTCCTCATATCCTTTTCTTTTTTTTCCTTTCTTTCAATTTTCTACATTTGAGTTGTATAAACAGTCAGTGGATAAATGTGTGTAGCCCTATGCATCTGAAAGGAGGAGGAATTAGTTTATTGTGGAGTCTAAATATGTAAAGTATAAATAAAATGAACTTTTGATTCAGTGCTCATTTATATAGAGGCTTCAAGAAGCTCTGACTAAATCTCTCCTGCCACCTTCTGGTAAGGACCTATGATTGCATATGACTTTTTCCCCTATAAAAGAATCTGCAAGAGCATAATTTTTAGCCAGAAAAAAATTCCTAGGATAGTCTGACATAATGCACTTAAATAGGTTTTTTATAATAATAATAACTGGTTTTGATAATAATACATTTTTATAGTGCTTTCTCACATATTGTCTCAGGCTGCATTAACCCACTTCACAAGCCTTATTTTCTATTCTCCTACACGTCGCCTACCTTTTCTGAACTTGCCCCACACTTTCCCACCCCCAAGCCTTTGCTCGTTTTGTCCATATACCTTGAAGCCTTTCTGTCAACTCTGCCTCTCAAAATCCTCTTTAGGAACCATCTTGTTCATCAACCTTGTCCTAACCCCCCGGACCACAAATGATCTGTCCTCCTTTCAGCAAGCACTTTGTACTGCTCTGAGGGCACCTCACCATTTGTATTATAGTTCAATTGGCTACTTTACACACAGCACTGAAAATTTAAATTCTTTGAGATCTAACTTGCCTTGATTAATAGCATCATCAACAGTTACTGAGTACTTGCTATGTGTTGCGCTCAGTGCCAGGAACTTTATATCTGGCAGATGTTATTTCTTCATTTTACAAATAACAAACCAAATCTCAGAGAAAATAAGGAATTCGCATAAAGTCACACAGCTTGTTAGATGGGCAGCCATGATTTGAACCTAACTGCCTAACCCCCTTTTAGTGACACTTGTTACTGTCACTTGTGTAGCCCCTTTGCCCTTCCAGCTCACTCACTGTGCTTATGAGAAGATTTAGTTTGAAAAATTGGTCTCAAAAAAATTTTTTTAAAGAAGATGTTGGGGGTAGGAGTTTATTAATTTTATTTATTTTTGCTGTGTTGGGTCTTCATTTCTGTGCGAGGGCTTTCTCCAGTTGTGGCAGGTGGGGGCCACTCTTCATCACAGTGCACGGGCCTCTCACTATCGCGGCCTCTCTTGTTGCGGAGCACAGGCTCCAGACTCGCAGGCTCAGTAGTTGTGGCTCACGGGCCCAGTCGCTCCGTGGCATGTGGGATCCTCCCAGACCAGGGCTTGAACCCGTGTCCCCTGCATTAGCAGGCAGACTCTCAACCACTGTGCCACCAGGGAAGCCCGGTCTTTAAAATTTTTGATGTTAGGTCTTCAAATAAGTGAATTTATTTATGAAAATTTAAATATAAAATTTATAGTAATTTGATAAAATGTTACTTATACTGGAATTATACACAGTAATTCAAACATTTATTTCAAGATATGTCTTAAATACAAAGTTGAGGTGATGAAGCTTCCAAAAGATAACACAGTGGGATATCTTTGTGACCTTGGGGTAGAAAAAAAATTGATAGATTCGACTTTATTAAAATAAGACTTCACTTTATCAAGGACAACATTAATAAAGGCAAGCCAAAGAGTAGGAAAATATATCTCCTTCCTTATTTTCCTTCCTTCTATCCAAAAGCACAAAGAACTTACACAAACCAGTATGAAAAAGACAGACAACCCAGTAAAAAACCGGGCAAGACAGGATCAGGCGCTTCACAAAATAAGATATACAAGTGGCCAATAAACATGAAAATGTACTCAGAAGTGTTACCAGAATTATTAGTTATCACAAATATAAATTAACACCCAACAAGATGTCAATATACCACCAAAATGTCTAAAACAATACAAAACAGACATTACCAAGTATTGATGGGGATGTGGAGCAAGTGGAACTCTTATTCACCACTGTTGGAGTGTAAATTGATTTTTAATCACTTGGGACAATTGTTTGGCCACATTGAGTACAGCTGAACATATACACATCTGTGACTCAGTTCCCAGTGCAATGAGTACATGTCTCTTGATGTACACAGATGGGCACCAAAAGACATGAACAAGAATATTCATATTAGCATTATTATAAATATCCCCCAAACTGGATAAAAAATTCTACCAACAGTAAGAATAAATACATTTTAGTATAATCATACAATGGAATATTATAAAGCAATGGAAATGTATGAATTACTGCTCTACACATCACTATGGGTCAATTTCACAAACATAATGCTGAGCAAAAGAAAACTACAGTATGATACCATGCAGTCCCAAAATATGTAAAATAAATCAAGTTAATAGTGCCTGGGAGGAGGCAAATGGATGATTCTGGGATACAGGTAATGTTCAGTTTCTTGTTCAATTTCTTGATTTCAGTTGTGGTCACATTGGGTGTTTTCACTTTGTAAAAATTCATCACACTGTACACTTTTTGGGGTGCTCTTTGATAGGTGTATTGTACTTAAAAATGTTTACTTAAAAAACGTAAACTAGATGGGAACTATAATAGCTTTGGTAGAGATGTCTGTCTACAGATTGATGCAGGACTGAACTCGCTTCCATCTCCAAAACCAGTATCATTCGAGAAGTCGCTGGTCTAAAGCTTTGGGCCATGCTTGCTAATCAAGAACAGCCAACCTGGAACTGGTAATATTCTATGAATACTTCTGTGTTTAACTTACCCTTGTTTTCTATCTCTGCTGGGCTTCTCCCTGTCCTCTGACATCCTAGCCTGTGAGCCTGTAAGGGTCCTTGGAGCAATCTGAGGGCTTAAGTGAGTTTATCCAATCTGAGCTGTTAGTCTAAGGAAGTTCTAGAAATTTGTGATTTCTCTCTATTGGTTACTGCTTTGACACTCTGATAAGAGACTGTTCTGGTAATCAAAGTGGGATTTATCTCCCTTTAGTTGTGTATGCTTCCCAAAACTTATCAGAGTGCATGAAATTGTTTTAAAAACAAGAATTCCATATACCCAGGCAATAATTTGTAGACACATAACCTGTCAACAGTTTCACGCAGTATTATTAATCTCTTCAACAAACCTGTAAATTCTTTCAGATGGAAACCGGTTAATATTTAAAATATATACATTTTCACATAGGGGTGGTGGTTTAATTTACACTTAGAATTGCTTTAGGTGTCTAAGCACCATGAATCATGTGTTTAATCTCTCAGTATTGCAGTTCTCTTTTCCTGAGTTTGCGAGAAAACACATATTAGGGAGAAATATGTTTCTGTCTATAATTTATGATGAGGAAATGACTAATCTTGGTGAAGAATGTTCCCCAAATGCAGAAACTTCTGGAATTTGGAAGTTTGGAACTTTCAACGAACACTTACTGGAGGCCTATTGAGTGCCAAGCACATATTTTCTTTTGAACTAGTTTACAGTAAGGCTTGCTTGGTTTGATAGAACAACATACATATTTGATGTTAGTAGATGCTTTGGTATTTGACCACTATTTCTAGAGTATTTGGGATTGTTTAAACTCCTTCAGGAGTTAGCATATATGAAAAGTAAAGGAAAATAAATATTAACTGTTTCTGAAAGTCTGGTAACTATTAAGCACTAGAAAATTGGCTACCTCTGACAAGTAGCTTCCTCTCTTTTCCTACATTTTCTATATTCTTTCTCTAATTCTATCTATCTAGTTGGATGAGGTTAATAAACTCCTGCCCTACCTCAGTGTTCTTTCATAGACATTTTTGCATTCATCCCCTAATGATCTTGAGGACCTCTTGAAAGCTGGGGAGTGAACTGAGCACCTCTTTTATATCTGCTATTCCACCACAGACTCCTGAGTGGGAACCAGATCTCATTCCTTTTTGTATACCTGTAGCATAGTATACACAGTATACAGTGTAGTTTTAGGAACTGAATGAGCAAATTTTTTGCTGGAAGACAGGATGGAGGAATGGTTACAACATGAACTTTGGTGTTGGACAAAATTTGGATTTGAATCCTGCCATTTACTTAGTTTTGTGACCTTGGGAAAAGTTGATTAATGTCTTTGACTTCTGTCCTTGTATCTATAAAATGTTGTTAATACAACCTATTTCACCTTGTTATATATGTAAAGTATGAAATACAGTGGGTACCATATGCTAAGCCCCAGTAAAAGGTTTGTTGTTACTGGTCTTCAGACTGGTTGGTAAGCTTTTTCAAGAGAAGGGACCATCATGTTGCCCTGTGCTTACCAGTGCCTGGCCACTATATGGGAGGGCCAGCAGATTCCCCATCTATTCCTCTCTCAAGGGGTAGGGAACGTGTGTGGTTCTGTTTTCCTGGGTGGTGTTGGAAAAACAGCAGTTTGCTTCTATGTTCACACACTTCTATGAGTTAAGCTGACTGACCTCATTAGCAAAGGTGTAGGTGGGAACACCTTGGGGAATCCTACCTCCAGCCAGGGGCTCTCCTGATGGACATGTGGCCTTGTGATGTTCCTGAAACTCCTGCATTCAGATCTGTCCTGCCCAACTGGGTGCAGAGCACTTTTCTGACTAGAAGAATTATTCAAAGATGACTGACATCTAGTGAGTGTCCACTGTGTTTCTAGTCCTCTCTTACTCCTTCCCAGAGCATGTATTAAGAATCTTCTGTGCTAGGTACTGAGAGTACCACAACGGATGAGAAATATTCAGAAACGGTGTGTGGCAGGGCAAAGTGAAAGAGACAAGAGCAGTTGAGGGATGTTTTGTGAACAGAGAAGGAAATACAGGATCCAGGAAATGTGATTCCTAACAGAATGGGGCTTGCACAGAATCCAGAGGATGCCATGCTAATGCTTTGTGTTATTTTGTTTAGTAATATGTTGTAAAATGTTGGTCTAAAATAGAAGCAGAAACAACAAGGTGTTCTGTGTGGGGGATGTATGAGGTAAAGGTAGGACTGGATGATTTCTCAAGGTGCCTCCCAGTCTGATGAATCAGCACAATATGAACTGGTGCTTCTGATGTAAGTATTTACACAAAATTCTAAAAGAAATGTAAATCAGAGTTGAAAATGTTGTCATGGTTAAATTTTTTCTTTTGGAACAGTAACGTAGAAAGACAAAAATGTGTCTAGCATAGAAATCTTATTTGGCTCTCTTTTCCTTTGTAGGAAGATGACCCTTCTTGTGAGTCAAGCAAAGAGAAGAGGCGAGTGAAGAAAAAGGTGTCTTCTGGGGGAGTTTTTGTGAAAAGGTACTAATCAGTGAAATAACTTTAAATAAACCTGCTTGATTTTTCTTTTCTTTTTAAATTGATATAAATGTAAATCTATAAATTCTTCTCAGAATTACTCAGACATGCTGTTATTCCAATTCTGAAGGCAGAAATGTATAATGTCAAACGGATTAAAATTACATGGACTCAGTTGTATTCCCCCTCCCAATATACTTTTTATATATTTATGTAGGCAAGTCAAAACTCTAGATTTATGAGTAGTTAATTTTGCAAGTATTGACATAAACTTTACAATATAAGATAACACAGTAATCAAAAGGTCTAGTTATAAAGATTATTAGAAGTTCTATTATGGCTTCATAATAGAATTATATTTCTTTTACTTTCTGTAGAGAGTACCCTTTTACTAGTGTAGGTATAGCTTTTCTCCCAACTTTTCAAATGACTTGATTTTTTAAAAAAAATTTATTTTATTGAAGTATAGATATATAATGTTAATTTCTGCTGTACAGCAAAGTGATTCAGCTATACACACACACACATTCTTCTCCATTATGGTTTATCACAGGATATTGAATATAGTTCCCTGTGCTATACACTAGTATCTTATTTGTTTATCCATTCTATATTTAATAGTTTGCATCCCAATCCATCCCTCCTCCACCTTTCTCCTCCCTTGGCAACCACAAGTTTGTTCTGTGTTAGTGAGTCTGTATTTGTTTGGTAAATAAGTTCATTTGTGTCATATTTTAGATAACCACATATAAGTGGTATCATATATGTCTTTCTCTGATTTACTTCATTTAGTATGAAGTAAATGTTGCTGCGAATGGCATTATTTCATTCTTTTTATAGCTGAGTAGTATTCCATTGTGTATTTATACCACATCTTCTTTATCCATTCAGGTTTTTTTTTAACGGTATGCAGGCCTCTCACTGTTGTGGCCTCTCCTGTTGCAGAGCACAGGCTCCAGACGTGCAGGCTCAGCAGCCATGGCTCACGGGCCCAGCCGCTCTGCGGCATATGGGATCCTCACAAACCGGGGCACGAACCCGTGTCCCCTGCATCGGCAGGCAAACTCCCAACCACTGTGCCACCAGGGAAGCCCTATCCATTCAGTTCTTGATGGACACTTAGGTTGTTTCCATGTCTTGGCTATTGTGAATAGTGCTATGAACATAGGGGTACATGTATCTTTTTGAATTATAGTTTTGTCTGGGAATATGCCCAGGAGTGGGACTGCTGGATCATATGGTAGCTTTATTTGTAGTTTTTTGAAGGCACCTCCATACTGTTTACCACAGTGGCTGCACCAATTTACATTCCAACTAACAGTGTAGGACAGTTCACTTTTCTCCAGACCCTCTCCAGCATTTGTTATTTGTAGATTTTTTTTTATTTTGTCTACATTTTTTTAACATCTTTATTGGCGTATAATTGCTTTACAGTGAGTGTTGTGTTAGTTTCTGCTGTATAACAAAGTGAATCAGCTTTACATATACATACATCCCCATATCTCCTCCCTCTTGGGTCTCCCTCCCACCCTCCCTATCCCACCCTCCCACCCTCCCTATCCCACCCCTCTAGGTGGTCACAAAGCACCGAGCTGATCTCCCTGTGCTATGTGGCTGCTTCCCACTAGCTATCTATTTTACGTTTGGTAGTGTATATATGTCCATGCCACTCTCTCACTTTGTCACAGCTTACCCTTCCACCTCCCCGTGTCCTCAAGTCCCTTCTCTAGTAGGTCTGCGTCTTTATTCCTGTCCTGCCCCTAGGTTCTTCATGACCATTTTTTTTTTTAGATTCCATATATATGTGTTAGCATATGGTTATTTGTTTTTCTCTTTCTGACTTACTTTACTCTATGACAGTCTCTAGGTGCATCCACCTCACTACAAATGTTGCCATTCTGACGGGTGTGAGGTGGTACCTCATTGCAGTGTTGATTTGCATTTCTCTAATGATTAGCGATGTTGAGCATCTTTTCATGTGCCTATTGGCCATGTGTATGTCAAATGACTTGAGTTTTAAAAAATCTGAACTTAGGAGACAAAGACAAGTAAGTTTTAGAAAAGGACAACTTTTTACAATAACAACCAAATATCTCCAGGGAAGTTTACATAAAATGAAAATCAGCTTTCATAAAAAGAAAAAAAAATCGTAACGCATGTTTGCCAAAAATATACATTTAAATAATCTGCTTTAGAATTCAACCAACCATTGTTTTGTCTTGCAAGCCTTATAAGAAAGGAATAACAGAGATGAGGTTGACTGGACAGGATGAAAAATATGTGGCTTTATTATTCTTTCTTCTCTTTTTTCTCTTTTCCCTTGACTTTGCTGACCAAAGAACCACCATGGCTTTTCATTTCAGTTCTGACTTCAATTCCCTCACTTTTCCTACTCCACTCTTTTCTTCCTTGAGCTAGCAAAGACGTGTGACTCTCTTGGGGCACTTGTGTAGTTTCTGCCTCCCTCTGAAGATCTGATTGCTGGCTTTGAGCTTGCTTCACTGGCATCAGCCTTCCTACCATACCCCAGACTGCCCATCTCTAGGCCCTGGCAAGTACCTTACATGGACAGGCCATTTTGGCCCAGTATCATCAGGACCAGTTTGCCCTGACACAAATGCATTTGATTGCTAAGACCAGTTTAGGCTGGTCAAAGGCCTGTAAGGAAGTGTTCAAAAATGGTTTACCTATCCTTTTCATAACCTTTATAGTCATTATTGTTAGTTTCTCTGTGGTTTCCAGTAGGCTTTCAATCTGTAGTAAAAACATTTGTCAACATTTATTGGGCACTTACTATGTGTGTGATCTGTACCAAGTCCTTTACATGTATTACTGCTTAATTCTCACCACAGCTGTATGAAAAGAGGTACAGCATTTCATACATGGAGATTAAGAAAGTCACCCAGTCACACAGCAATGTGAAGCTGGGATTCTAACCTTAGGAGGGGAATTTCAGAGTCTGCATTCTGGAATTCCCAAAGCCAACATTTCTCTCACTTTCTGGGACTACACACAGCCTTACCTTTTCCTTCTAGCCTGATGACTCTAAAGTAATCCCAACCCTGGAAATAGTTTGTTACACTTCCTCCTGTTTTCTCAAGGCCACATCTCTAGTCTCTGTACAAGTGAGGTAGGAAATACCAGAAGAGTGTTGTAATAGAAGCATGCACCCTTGTGGCAGAGGTTCCCTGGATGTCTCCCAATACCTTTCTCCCCTTTTTCTATAGTATTTATTAGGGTTTACCTGGGCTTGTGGCTGCTCAGGATAAGGACTGACTTCCCAGTCGTCTTTGCAGCTAAGATACCAAGTGTGGCCAATAGAGTGTGAGCGAAAATGGTGTGTAAAACCCTAGGGGTCATGTCCCTAAAGGGAAACGGCTTTCCCACACCTTCCCCTTTCTTCTTCTGGAATGTGGGGTGGTAGCGAGTCACTGAACTTTGCAAATGAGAGCACTACCAGGGGTGATGGAGCATAAGACAAAAAGGAGCCAGGACACATGGAAAGAAGAGCCTGGACAGTATTGCTAAGTATTAGCAAAATGCAAATCACAACTACAGTGAGTTCTCAGAGAACTCAACTTGGAGATTACTCTTACTATCGAGTAAGAACATAAAATCTTGAGTTAAAGTCTTGTGACTTATCTGCCATGTGATCTTGGCAACTTCACCTGTGTGAAGTTACAACTGTGTGACCTTAACTTCACTTACCTGGTTTCTTTAGCTGTAAAATGAGGATAATACCACCTACCTAAGAGAACTGTGATGAAAAACAGGTGAGTTGATATATATCATTTAGTATATTCACTGTTATATATATAGTCAATGTAGCTATTCTACAAAATGACAATCACTAATTTTAGTGTTGGTGATGACCACAGTGCTTTCCACTGCCTCATTTTTTTCCCCTTTATAAGTAGAGGGATGTGGAGCTCACCTCCTCCCACAAATACATCAAAAAATCCAGCCACGTGTGGAATAGTTCTCACAGAACACCACTGAATGCTTTCAGATCTCATACAACCAAAGCTTCAAGAAAGATCCCCATGTAACTGAGTAGGATGAAGGGAAAAGGGAGAAGAGGAGGAATTGGAATGGGACCTGCACCCCTGGGAGGGAGCTGTGAAGGAAGAATGCTAACCTCACCGTGGGAACCTCCTTCACCAGCTGGGAGGTATGCCAGGACAGATAGGGAACTTCAGAGGCTGAAGAGGAGGGTATGGGAGTTGGCCTGAGGCACTGCAGGGTATGGAGAGACCAACACAGAAGGTCCTGACCACATCACCACGCTTCCCAGCCCAAGATGTACGCCTGCTGGTGTGCAGAGCGACTGGGTGCTGAAACTCAGGCTTCAGCAGACAGACCCAAGGAGAGGACTCTGGTTGGTTGCATGGAGACAGACCAAAGGGTCTGGAGCATGGTCCAGACCATAACTGGGGGCGTGTGCATGTGGAGGTGGGGCTGAAAGCTGAACTGATAGCTGGCCATCCCACTGTGGTTGCTGGGATGCAGCTCTGGCAGGTTCCTGCTCTGGCGGACTTTTCATTGGAACCACACATGCGTGCCTGAAGGCACCCTGGGCTGACTGCGGGTTCAGGGGATGCAGCTCCAGTGGGTTTATGCGCTGGTGGCTTGGTGAGCGTGTATGCTCTGAACTTATTACCAGGAGGTGGGCCCAAAGGGCAGTGCCAGCAACACTGATCTTTGTGGGTGCACACACCAGGTGGCAGGCGGCATCACAGAATCCCACGTCCTGGCAGGCAGCTCCTGGGGAGGAACATGCAGTGGCTCCTCTCCCAGAGGGAGCGCTCCAGTCCTGCCTACTTCACACCACAGCTGAGAACCAGATCTGGGGATCTGCACTACAACAACTGGGGAGCAGACCCTGCCCCTGACAGGGCTGTGACACCCAGAGAGCAAAGAGGAGGACTTGCTCAACATCCATTATGGGCTCTGGTCACCATGACACTAATCACACTTCCCTATCAAGGGGATAATGGCTGGCG